AGGACCCAAGTGTTGCGTGCTTCCTCACCAGGTAAACAGCCAAGACTGTGTTCATCCAAAACCTGAACCTATTTAACAGCCCTTTAATCAAACACAATGTACCTTTTTCACATGATAAGCTCTTATTCATTGTTTGGCTAGGTAAGCGTCCCCTCTAGCTTGACAAGCATGGAGACAAATAGTCAAGTCACGCTGAGGACGGTCCTCCCTGGAGAACGATGTAAGTGATTTTAACTGTCCCTCTGACAGCGTTCACAATGGAGATGATGCTGTAGACCAGGGGTGCCCAAACTCGGTCCTGGAGGGCCGGTGTCCTGAAGAGTTTAGCTCTAACCTCAATTAAACACACCTGAACCAGCTAATCAAGCTCTTAATAGGCATACTAGAAACTTGAAGGCAGGTGTGTTGAGGCAAGTGGGAGCTAAACTCTGCAGGACACCGGCCCTCCAGGACCGAGTTTAGCAGCTTCTACAGTTAAAAATAAAACTTAAAGCACTCTTTTTGATGTGCTTTTTAAGGCAATGTTTAAAAAATTTAGTTTTTAAATTAAATCTCAACGGTCCTCCATAAAATGTGCTGCACACATCTGAATATTTGGGTTGAACTGCTCTGGAACAGTGTTGTAAATACAACTTTTGTAAATACCACTGATTTCTAGTTGTGTCCTCTTTTGGAAGGCCAAACAAAGTAGTTTCGCTTTCACAACGAAACACACAGCGTCACACACGGAGGGCTTGAGAACGGCGCGGCCGGCCGATTCGATGAAGGAGCGTCCTGCGGGCTTGCGGCAACCACATGTGACGACCCTGGGCTGGACTCCGCTTCGTCCACGGTGAAAGCCGATCCGGCGATCCACAGCGCGAAGTTGATGTATTTCCTCAGCGACCAGCACGGATCAGCTCCAGGCATGACGAAGCGGGTATTGTCCTCATTTGGAAGACCAAACAAAGTAGTTTCGCTTTCACAACGAAACACACAGCGCCTTCACGACATGGCGGCGGCAACAACAATACTACAGCGAGAATAAAAGTTACACCTTCTTTCTTTGCGTGAACATTTGTGCGGCGTTATGCAAATCTTCCCACAAGAGTAGTTAGTCTCTTCCAGTCTGATGGATTTACTAGTTTGAAGGCTTCTCAGTGTATGATGTTGTGTCTATTGCAGTGGATGATCAGATCTCTGTGAAGGTGGAGGCGTCCGGTTGGGCGTGGATGGTTTGTGGAGAACGGCTGATCATCTGGAAAGTGTCTCAGACGTCTGTGGCAAAGGTCAGAAAGAGACAATTACTGAGTGCTGAATTTGCTGCCAAGGCTGTACAAACGTTGTGCTCTTGCTGTCATTGCAGCTGTCGGTGTGTAAAGACCTCCAGCTGCCCTCCAGTGAGTTTGCATACAGCGCTGATCTCATCTCCATCACTTCCTCCAGGCCACTCGATTCTGCACCCATACCGGTGAGATCATCTCTGAACATTAACTCCACAAAAGATTTCATGATGCAAACATGAATGCAAATGTGTTTTTCACAGTCTGTCAGTGCATTGGCCGTGTCTCCAGACGGTTCGGCCCGGTTTTGGCCCAGTCTGGCTCATGACGGGACTTACACTGAGACATCTCTGGATCTTGCCGGACACGTGTGCAACTACATCGCAGCTGTTACGGTGTGCAGTCAGACTAAATGAGGAGTGCAGAAGCTTTTATTTCCATAACTCTTCTTCTATTAACTATTTTCTCTTGCTGTTTCAGGGTGGGAGTTTCATCGTGTCATCGTACCGTGGGCACCTGCTCCGGCTCACTCCGGATTCCTCCGGTAAACTGCACCAGCGGCCCGTGCAGCAGGGTCAAGGGATGCTGTCTGGCATCGGACGCAGGGTTTCCAGTCTGTTCGGCATTCGCGGCCAACCGGCCGACCTCACGGTCAGCACTGTTTGTTCTTTAGAGGTGGAAGCAGATCATGTGTTCAAACAGTGACGGGACGTTTGGCTCCTCAGGTGTTCAGTGTGTTGTGGGTGAAGGAGACCGGCTGTCTGTACTCTCTCAGCTCGTGTGGCCTCAGTAAATGGGAGGTGGATGAGAACAGTGAGACGCAGGTGTTGAGCTGGAGCACCAATCAGATCATCACAGACAGCATCACTGACGCCATCTGGGTCAGAAACTTTTTTTTTTTTTTGGAAGCGTCAAGAATTATGTAGAAATGTGCGTTTCTGAACTTCATCTGATCTAGAAATTGAGGTCCTTGCATAGAACCAGAGCAGACTGCTTAAAGGGGTCAGATTCTTTCCACAGAAATATGAAGCAGCACAGCTGTTTTCAACATTGATAATAATAAGAAATGTATCTTAAGCAGCAAATCAGAATGATTTCTGAAGGATCATGTGACACTGAAGACTGGAGTAATGATGCTGAAAATTCAGCTTTGATCACAGGAATAAATTACATTTTACAATATATTCACATAGAGAACAGTTATTTGAAATTATAATATTTCACGATATTACTGTTTTTATTGAATAAATGCAGCCTTGTTAGGCAGAAGAGACTTTCAAAAACATTTAAAAGTATTAATTATTCCAAACGTTTGACTGGTAGTGTATAATATTAGTAAAGTTTTGTGCCAAATCAGTCTCTTTTTTTCTTTTTCTTTTTCTTTAATGGCCATTTTCTACCTGTTTTCTGACTGTTAGGAATATTTTTTGCCGCTGCACCCCAAATGCCACATTTGCTTGTGAAATAAGCAATACAGCTTGTGTATTTTTTAAAATCTTTTATTAATTTATTTAGCGCTCAAAAGTTCAGTAAGATTTTAAATTTAATCTCTTCTCACCAAGGCTGCATTTATTTGATCATAAATACAGTAAAAATACAGTAAAAACAATAACATTATGAAATATTTTTATAATTTAACATAACTGGTTTCTATTTGAGTATATATTAAACTGTAATTTATTCCTGTGATCAAAGCTGTATTTTCAGCATCATTCCTCCAGTCTTCAGTGTCACATGATCTTCAGAAATCATTCTAATATGCTGATTTGCTGCTCAAGAAACATTTCTGATTATTATCGATGTTGAAAACAGTTGTGCTGCTTCATATTTTTGTGGATTCTTTGATGAATAGAAAGTTCAAGATAACAGCATTTATTTGAAATAGAAATCTTTTGTAACTTTTGTCTTTACTGTCACTTTTAAACAATTAAATGTATCCTTACTAAATAAAGGTATTTTCTTTCAATTTATTAATATAAAATTTCATATATAGATGTGTGTTTATGCAATACCCTTTATTTGCCTCATAGGACTCAGAAAGTAACTACTCGGAGATCAAGAAAGGAGTGAATGTCTCTTATCTGGACATGCAGTACAGCAAGTGAGTCTTTTGAATATGAAACTGAATATCATCTGTAATACAGTACAGGCAGTAATTGCAGTATAAGGCAGTGACTAATGTGTGTTTCTTCAGAGCGGGGCTGGTGGTGTTGGCAGCAGCGTGGCATCCGGGCGACACGCCATGTGTGGCGTATTTCTGCCTGGTCACTCTTGCAGAAAGCATAGCGCCTTCACCAGACCTGCTCACTGTGGAGGTCACCAAATACAACCCGCCCTTCGAGGTACACCGTTCAATCACAGCTGAATGATCTGAGTGTTTAGACCGTGAGCTTCTTGGATTGAAATCATGAAAACTGTGATGATGAGTACTGAATGAATTCAGCTGTGGTTTTGTCCGTCAGAGTGAGGAGGAGCTGCAGAAGACGCGTGTGGTGTTGCCCGAGCCGTCGAGTCCTGCTGCGTACCTCTATAATGAGGAGCTGGTGTTCACCTGCAGCACTGGAGCTGGACGCGGAGGACTCGCAGAGGAGAAGATCTCCTTCAGCTCTCCAGGTACAGCCCTCGGACTGGGAAATCATTGAAGTAGCTAGTCTTCTTCCTGGAGTTCATCTGAGTTGTTTTTGCAGGTGACCGTATCCGAGGCGGTGGGGTGTGTGCCGGTCTGCCGGTGTTTTTCTCTCAGAACAGCGGGCTGGTTGCCGTTTTAGCGAGAGAAAGTGCTTCCCTCCTACCCGAGACCATGGAGGACTCGCTCTGCACCTCAGTAGCTGGACCTGAGGTCTGGACTCAGTTTAAATGTTATAAATTTAAAAATATAAATATTATATTTAAAAAGGATCGATTTGAATTATTTGGCAGTTTTTTGTGTGTTGTGTATAGAAATTTATAATGTTTTAATTTAAGTGACTAGAAATCAGGATTTTTTTTTTTCTTTTCATGGCACTTTATTATAAATTGGCATTTTATAAATGTAAACATTATATTTTATGAATTCACAGTTTTGCGTATTTATGAACTAGTGTCTGGTAAAATAAATGTAATTTATATATATAAAGAAATTTATGTTTTAATTTATTTAAGTGACTAAATCAGGATTGTTTTTCTTTTCATGGCACTTCATAAATGTACATTTTATAAATGTAAACATTTATTATTTTAAATAATTTATGAATTTCACAGTTTTTGTGCATTTATGAACTAGTTTCTGGTAAAATATGTAATTTATATGTATGTAGAAATGTATAATATTTTAATTTATTTAAGTGACTAAATCAGTTTTTTTTTTTTTCAGGGCAATCCATTATAAATTAAACAATATGATCAATTTAAATATTTATTATATTTAAAGTATTTTATTAATTATTTCAGTTTATTGTGTATTCATGAGCTAGTCTCTGATAAAAAAAAATATATATAATGTCTATAACTAGAAATCTGGAAATATTTTTTTCTTTTCAGGGCAGTCCTTTATAAAAAATAAACATACATTTAAAAGTATAATTATATATATTTTTTAAAAATGTTAATTATTTGGCTGTTTTTTGTATATTCATGAACTAGTCTCTGGTAAATATATTTAGAATTTATATGTAGGTATGTATGCATTTATAATGTTTTAATTTATTCAAGGAAATATTTTTCACCTTGTCAGGGCACTCCATTAGAGACACCACCTAAAATAGACATGGTGGCACAGGAGGACAAAACTAAACTGCTGAAGCAAGCGTTCCTACAGTTCTGCCGGTGAGTTTCCTTCACTTCGCTTGTGTTTGTGACTGTTGAATCAGTGACTGCAGCTCGCAGATGCTCTGCTGTGCTTTGATCTGCAGTCACGATCTGGTTGGAGCTCAGAGCATGGTGTACGAGCTCTTTCCCAGCGATGGAGAGGGAAGTGCGGAGCTGGATGCCGTCGTGACCCAGATTGACCTGGACCTGGTGGACGACTACCCTGCATGTGACCCACGCTGGGCCGAGTCTGTTCCTGATGGTGAGAGATGGGGAGAAAACCTTTCATTTTGCCCCGATAAATTATAAGTTCTTCTAAACAATCCAAAATTTATACAAGATAATTAAGAAAATCTTTTGTCCATAAATATTTCTTATCAAAAATTAAGGTATATTTGTAATTATTTTTATTAATAAATAATAAATTATTCATTAAAGGTTAGTTTTATACATGTGTGTATATATATATATATATATATATATATAAACTTTTTAAACCATTTACACTTATATAAACTGTTTT